TATTCTCACTTAAGATGAAGGCTTACAGAACAAAATAGTTTCTCATTTAACAGTTATTATACATGTTGCTTTATGACAATGATTACCAATCTCACAACACATCAACAATATCCTTGATCAACCTTGGGTTCCCTATCACCAGCTTTCTTGTCCCCTTCTGCCTTCTGGCCCTTGTCACTGGACTACTATACCTCATTAGTCCCATTTGGTTTTCCGGGGCTGTCCACTCCCAGGCTGAACGGTGAACCTCGGAGATAACTTCACCACTGAGCTAAAAGAGTGTCTGGGGGCCATACTCTCGGGGTTTCTCCAGTCTCCTTTAGGTCGGTAGATCTGGTCTGTTTTTTGTGAGTTAGAATTATGTTCTACATCCTTCTCTAGCTCTGTCCAGAACCCTCTGTTGTGATCCTGGTCAGAGTCAGGGGCAACAGTTTCTTAAAGCTGATTCTCTTTTCTGGTAACCACTATGACATCTCAGATCAACAGAACCCATGCCCAGGAAGCATATTTTCAATGACAGGAAGATGCCTAAACAGCCTCCCTTCTGATCAGTCTGAGGATTAGTTACGGTGGGCTGCCTGTGCACGGACAGGATAGATATTAGCATGGTTAGGTGTCTGAGTCTGAAAGCAACAGTTCTTAACTCTTCTGGGGTCATAGACTCCTTTAAGAATCTGATAAAAACTAAGGACCCTGTTTCCCAGAAAATGCATGTACAAATTTTTACAATCAATCCCAGGGTGTTCAGAGATGACTTTTGTGGACTATTGGTTGAAAGCTCTGCTGTTGGATGCTTCCTTCATGCTCTGAGCCCCAGGAGCCAAGGAGATGCACAGCCTAGCCACTGTGAGGGAATACAGCAGAATGGACATCTGACAGCACAGTTCCCATTCATGCCTGAGATGGCATATGCCGGAGAGGCCCGATCACAAGCTTGGGATGAACATTATTCTTTTTGACTCATCTCAAACTGGCTGTTACCTTGTATAAATCCTTTCTTCCTTCCATGCTGCTTCTTCTCCAGCTGTCACACAACTGGCAAGACTCACTGCCTCATAACATCTGTCATTCTGGGGAGTTAAGGGCTTTAATAGGGTCACCTTTCCAGAGGAAGCTGAAAGCCTATGAAGAAGTGTGCTAGAAAAGCAGCCCTGGTAGGCCATAAGGGATTGGCCCCTCATGCTGTGTGGGACTCTTCTCAGAGAAGAGGTCTGGGGATGTGGTATAAATGTTACAGTTAGGTCACTGGCAGATGCAAGCCAAGCTTAATACTCAGTGCTGCCCTGAACAGATGGGCAGTGCACGTCTTAGCTCAGACTGCTCGGAAATGGGTTTTAGGGTAAGAAATGATTTGGAAACCTTGTAGGAGGAGCTTTCCTTAAAGGAGGAAGTTTCCTTCTACACAGACACTGGAGGAGAAATCTCCAGCTCAAGGGTAAGTATGCTGTGCCTTAGAAGTCATAGTTTCACCGCTTAAGATAAACTGACCCGGCTCCTAACCTGTGGGGCTACTTACCAGGAAGGACAGCTTGGCTTCATCAGTGCTCTCAATGCCTTTTGTGTCAAATTTGCCCTGCTGGAGGCTGCTGTGCATGATGTTCACAGCACTCGTCACTCCACGCTGGATATCCTGTAAGGTGGTGGCTGGGAAGCCCATCCGTAGCTTGTTACACAGAACATCCCTGGGGGGCAGAACAGCACATGGAGTCAGGCCTGACAGCACTCAATCTGGCCTCCAGGACAGCAGGACCCCAAGTGCCCACTACCCTGACCAAGTAGCAGGAATTGCTCTTTTGGAGGAATAACCAATCCTTGAGACCACTCTTGGAGACCTTCAGGAGCCAGGATATGAGAGTGAGCAAAAACTCTCAAAGGCTGGATATGGCAAGAAACACAGAGTAGTTTGGCCAACTCTTTACTCCCTTAAAGAGGCTTTCAGTTATCTCCACTGAGCTTCAACGAACTCAAGAGGAGGCAGTACAGCTTAGTGAAAGGCAATTCCATGTAACAGTTGAGACTGTGTAAGAGCTGAAAGAATAAGTTTTGAGTCAGTCAGTTCTGGACTCTATTCCTTATTCTACCACTTAGGAGGTATGTGACCTCTGACAAGTGATTGAATCTCCTCCTAGTTTCCTCATCTACAAAACAGAGCTAATAATCCCTACCTCTCAGCATTGTTATTAAGACTAAATAAGAGCAGATTAACAAAGTGCCTGGCCTGTAGCAACAGTGACTATGATTGTTATTACTACTACTGCCTTCATCTGAACCACCTGATCTCTTTCCTAGGTCTCAGGGCCAATACCCCTTCCAATCCATCCCAAGGACCACAGGTGTGGCCCCGAAGCACCTGGCTGCTAGACAACTGCCTGGAGTGAAGGATGTTGTGGTATGGACAGAAGCTTATGTCCAGTATATAAATGAGCTGGAATTGTAAGAAAAAAAAAAAGAAGAAATAAACGTGCTTCAAGAATCAATCACGACTAGAGACTTTCTGCCTCCTGAAAAGAAGAAAGAGAGTCAACCATACCTGAAGTCAGACTCTAGCTCTGTGGTGGCGAGGTTGATCATGGCACAGAGACAGTCGATGCTGGAGCTGGACAGAGCCCGCCCAATGCACTTCTTAACGATGTAGAAGACGTCATCCACCATGCTGGATGTCAACTGGCCCTTTTCATAGGTGTCCAGAGCCACAGCCTACCCAAAAGGCAAAGCACCCCTTTCTGAGACTGTTCTGGTTACACTGGCCCAGGGTCTTCTCCCTTTTCTATGCCTTATCCATATGTCCCCCCGCAACATGGCTTACTCTGCTCACAGCTTGGAGTAGATTGTCCTTACCACAATAGCTCACTCCATCTAGTTCTGTAGTGCAATGGATAGCGCATTAGACCTCTAATTCAAAATAGTTCACTCCCTATCGATCGTTGTGTTAGGAAATTGGATATTTCGGGTCTATGTCTTAGGAAGATCTGTAACCTGGGCTGGCCCATAAGACATCAGGAGAGGCCCTTCTTTCCCGAGGCTCCTCACTTAGATACCTCCGGGGAGGTAGGGAACATGAAGTCTCCCTGAGGAGCTTAGGTGTCTTTTTGTGATCTTTGGGAAAGCAGTCTGTCATGGTTTGAATTATGTCCCCCAAAACTGTGTGTATCAGTTTGGCTGGGCCATGATTCCCAGTATTGTGTGGTTGTCCTCCATTTTGTGACTGTAATTTTATGTTAAAGAGGATTAGGGTGGGTTTATATAACACTCTTACTAAGGTCACATCCCTGATCCAATGTAGTTTCCCTAGGGTATGGCCTGCACCACCTTTTATCTTATAAGAGAGAAAAGGAAAGGGAAGCAAGCAGAAAATTGGGGGACCTCATACCACCAAGAAAGCAGTGCCAGGAGCAGAGCACATCCTTTGGACCTGAGGTTCCTGCGCTGAGATGCTCCCAGACCAAGGGAAGATTGATGCCAAGGACCTTCCTCCAGAGCCAGCAGAGAGAGAAAGCCTTTACCTGGAGCTGATGCTCTAAATTTGAACTTGTAGCCTACTAGACTGTGAGAGAATAAACTTCTCTTTGTTAAAGCCATCCACTTGTTTTATTTCTGTTAGAGCTGTACTAGATGACAACGACAAAGTCTTAGCTGGATATATGGAGAGCATGACAACTCCAAAGATGCCCTTTAACAATAAAAAGGAGTGCAACTCAGTCTGCATGCAAGAGTGTTCTTAAAACAGGATCCAGAAATATGGCTTGCCTCAGCCATTTCCTTGAGCCTGGCTTCTTGGACAGGAAGCCCCATTTTCAAGAGATTGTGTCCTATGTCCTACCTTATTGACAGTCTCCCTCATGAAGTACTCCTCCATGGTAATATATAAGCCAATTAGCTCCTGCATGGTACAGCTTAACAGGCAGTTATTGAGGAGTTTGTCCAGACACTTCTGATGCTCTAAGGGACAGACAAGAAATGAAGACTCACTTTATTCCCCAAGGGAAATAAGTCAACTTTTTTCAGGTTCCTTTATAGTATTTGTTCCAAATATGCACATATTTCACATAGTTATTATAACCCATACCTGTTGCCATCTAGTCAATTCCAACTCATAGCGACCGTATAGGACAGAGTAGAACTGCTCCATAGAGTTTCCAAGGAGCAGCTGGTGGATCCAAACTGCCGACCTTTTGGTTAGCAGCTGAACTCTTAACCACTGTGCCATCAGGGCTCCATAGTTATCACAGTACAGGTATAATTTTGTATTCTTTTAAAATGTGTATCATAAATATTTTCCATGTTTCTATATAGGTTGCTAATTTTTTTCTTTTTAGACTTCTTATTTATAACGGTTGTGTGATATTTTAGCAGATGACTAATACATATTTTTTAAAAACACTCCCTTATTTTTAGACATCTAGGTTATTTCCAAATGTTTTGCCAGTATTGGAGATAACTGGAGATCCTAATTATTGGAGATTACAATGAACATTTTTGTACAGATAACTTTTTTACTTCTTTTCTGTTATTTCCTTAAGATTAATTAATAGGAGTGAAAAAATATAAAATTTCAGGGCAGAAACTGTAATATGCTGGGTATAGAACATTTCATTCTCTAAATCAGTGCTGTCGAATAGAATTTTCTGTAATGAGAGAAATGCTCTATATCTAGAACAGTGCTACTATGGTAGCCACTAACCATGGTAGCTATTGAGCACTTGAAATGTGGCTAACGTGACTGAGAAACTGAGTTTTAAAGTTTATTTAAATTTTTTTCCCTTTTTTATTGTACTTTAGGTGAAGATTTACAAAACAAATAGTTTCTCATTAAACAGTCAGTACACATATTGTTTTATGACACTGGTTAACAACCCCACGACATGTCAACCCTCTCCCATCTCGACCTCTTTTTTTTTTTTTGGTGAAAATATGCATAGCCAAAGATACACCATTTCAAAAATTTCTGCATGCACAGTTCAGTGACATCGATTACGTTCTTCCAGTTGTGCTGCTATTCT